ACCCGGACCCGGTCATACCCGGACCCTGAAGGGTCAGGGTTCCTCAGGGTCAGGGTCAGGGTTCAGCCTCCAGGACCCGGACCCGTGCTCTATCCTAGCCGAAATGTTCAATTCGGCCGCAGGCCGAATTTCGCGTGACTTATTACCTGATTAGGAAATTCGGCGTGCCGCAGGCACGGAAATTTTGAAAATCATCCTAATTGGGACCAAAAGATTTGGCTGTGACCCGTGACCCGCCGAAATATTTCGGCCAAAAATCCCATGTGACCGTGACTGGCCTAATTGAAGGAAATGGGTCAGTACTTTATCTGTTGTACTTTCAGTAATCTCCTCCGTTCAAGTTGTGGCTAGCCAGTCATTGGTGTGGCTCAATTTCTTCCCTTATCTATCATAATTATCCAATTAAAGTTATAAAATCAACAAATGTCTGTAAGAGGAAGCCAAATAGGGGTTACACATTGTGTTTTATTTAGCTGATGCTTGAAATTAATTATACTTGCAGAGAATCCATCAGAATACACTCATATAGTCTTAGCCGTCAAAGTAGCTTCTTTTTTTGGAGAGAACCTGGCCTTGTGCAAATCCGGGCAAATGTATGTTGGCGGCTACGCAGTGCCAAGTCAACGATTGACTTTATTTTCGTATCACCTCTTTGTTCCATAGAAATTCCATGGAACAAACAGGTGATAGAAACTTTTAATTGTCACATTGTAGACACTCCATCACCGCGTCACGACTTACCTAATCTTTCCTCCTTGCCGACGCCACTCATGTCGACGACAACGAAGACCGACGCTGCGCAGCTGCGAGATGCTCTGGCAGACATCGACGCGCGCGGATCCATACTCTCCGTGTCCAATTGCTTAACTCGTTCAACGCGCGGCGCAACATCGTGGCCCAGCTGCGCACGGTCACCTACGGCGGTATTCTGGAGATGCCCCCTGAAATAACGGGCAAAATTTTCACGCATTGCGTTACGGAGGTCGGGATAGGCAACGTGTCGACGCCGTGCATGCCGCTTGTGCTGGCCGCGGTGTGTCGCGCGAGTGGCGCCACGTGTAGGGTGCAGGATTTAAGTGGTGTTTCAAACCGCGTTTCGAAACAGCTGTTTCAAACCGCTGTTTTTAATTATTTCCAGAAAAAGTGCTGTTTCAAAACACATGACCTGTGGGAAAAATTAGGCAATTCACTGGTTATAGACAGACTTTGGCTCATGCTGTAGCAGCTATACTTACAGCTATAAAGGTAACATCCTAATCAACTATTGTTACTCTCCATTTAATGTCACTGGAGGTCTTTTAAAGGCTTCAAGTGTTACCGTCACATCAGTGATAGGGTCACACCATATACAGACAACACAGAATATAACTTAGGATAGCAAGGGGTACCTTGAAAGCTTGAGAAATGGTGTAAAAGAACAAGTAAATACATATGCTAGCCCAAAAAATGATTCAAAAGGTCAAAATTGCCATTTTAGGCAATTTTAATCAATCCCTGTTTGCAAACTGGTTTCTAAATTGGCTGGGAGTTCAAACCGGTTTTAATAACCCCCATAATTCAATCCTGCACCCTAGCCACGTGGCCCTCGAGCTTCCCAGCATCTGGTCGCGCCTTGCCACCTGGGCATGGCAGGACAATTCGCCAACCGATTTCCTCCACTTTTGTCTTGCGCGGTCTAAAGCCCACCCTCTAGAACTGGACGTCATCAACGGCGGTTTTGTTCTCAGCCTCTTTAGTGTTCCGGGATCCGCCGAGCGCTTGACGAAATACACCGGATTTATTGACGACCTCGTCCACAAAGACGGTTTGCACGAATTGGCGAAGGGACGGCTGTTCGCTCTGCGGAGCCTGAAGCTGGACGCCAACCCGTTCAGCACGAATACTGCCGAAATACCTATGACGATCTTCGCTGACGCCCCGGCGCTCCGTACGGTCCACCTCGTGTCCGTGCGAATGTCCCAAATCACGCTCCCTTGGACTCAAATCACTACACTCATCCTCAGCCGCCTTAGCGTGGTCGCTATTCACGAGCTTTTGCACCACATGCCGTTTGTGGCGACACTGGAAATCGGCACGATAGTGCAGGACAGCGCGCCCGCGCCGGGTATCCCGCTTCTCCTGTCGCATCTCCGTAGTCTCGACCTACAGTGCTCACCGGGAGGTGCGCACTCCTGGCTCGACACCCTGACGCTACCCGCGCTCGCCCACCTGCGCGTCACGGGCCTCGATGAAGAGGCGAGCATGCACCTCATCATGCTCCTGCGACGCTCCAAATGCACCGTCACCACCATGATCCTCGACTCTCTCACTCCCCTGCACGACGCACTAGGCCTTCTCACCTTCACGCCCGCGCTCGTGGAGCTTACAGTTCGCGGCATGGAAGTCGACGCGGCAACGTACCTGTTCCACCGTGTGGTCAGCAACTCCCAGGGTTTCTTGCGGCAGCTCCGCGCCCTCCACTTCTACATCACGCTGGTTGAGCCCCCGCTCTCGGCGCCGTCGCCAGCTGGGTTCGCAAGCGGCGGCCGGCCGAGAACGCGTCTCTCAACGTCTCTGGCGCGCTGCGCGAGGTTACTTTCAGCAACGACAACGGTGGGGGTCAGAGCCCCGGTCCGGCGGCAGCGCAGCGTGTGAAGATAATGCAGACTCTGCGCGATGCGTTAGCAGAGGGCCCGGGAGGCGTTGTCGCTGCAGAGTTTACTGTTCGCGCCCCGGGGCTGTTCGTCTCCTCCAGAAAGGTGAGCGGTCGACACGAATCTCCTAATACTATTAGAGGCTTAACGTGCGGTACAGGAGCCGAGCGGGAGTTTGCTCGATGTTGTTGAGGACTGGCCTATGATCTAACTACCTGGGAGTCACAGTGCTGGTTGGTGGCTCCAAGATAGCTAGAGGATAAGGATGGTCATCACCAAGATAGCCATAGGGTTGTTTCTCAAGGAAAGGTGATAAAAAGTTGTGAATTCAAGTTTTTTGTGGGAGCTAAACAAAGAACATACTTATATTCAGGCAAATAACAACTGCTAGGGGTTATCATCAATATGCCAACAAACCACTGTTTCGTTCCCTCGCTACATCGTACACATGTGCCCGCTCATCAAATTCGATGCGTCCGACAGCGTCCAATGCCTGCCTCAATGCCTCTTGCTGCCCTTCGTAATGCGGAGTTAGGATGCGCAGTCGCAGCGCGCTCATATCGCACTCCAGCAGCGTTATGAACTTGCGCAGCCATTCACCGGCATTGGGAAAGAGATAGGCTTTTGCGATGGTGATGACCAGCACCTGTAGTTGGCGCGCGACGAGGCCCTCGAGGTACTTCAAGTCGCGCGCGGCGTCACCGTCGTAGAAGGTGATCTCGAGCGATTGCAGGGCGGGGAACTGGAGGTTGGTGATGTGATGGAGCCAGCCTACGGAGCCGAGCGTGAGCGCCAGGCGACAGTGCGTCAAGTTGGAGCCAGGCGATGTACGGCCCAAGAGATGGGCCGTGGGTTTGAGACTGAGATTGACGAGGCTCATCGATGAGAGGTCGGCCCAGGGGAGGAAGTCGACGGGAAGGTCCTCGACGGTCTCGCGCGCTGAATGGACAACGAGTTCGGTTAACTTCGGCGCAGTGAACACCGGGCAGTGCCCGCCGAAATTGTCCCGCAAGTCATCCCCGAGGTCGATATCTTCATTGCGATAGAACTTCAGGGCAAGCGCGCGAAGATTCGGGGCCGCGCCGACACAGACGTGGAGGTCGTTGGCCTCGTATACCGTCAGCTCCGCGTATTCCCAGCGCTCACGGTACGCGGTGATGGCAGCCAAGATGTGCTCGTGATTCTGCAGATTTGCGCCGGCCGCGACGCGGACGGAGAGCATCAGATCGCGTGAACGCGCGAGCCACGAGTCGATTCTTGTCTGCGCGGCTTGCAGGGCGGGCCCACCAGGGAGGTTCGACCAGTCGTCCTTGATGAGAAGGGTCCGCCAGAAAGACGGTGTGTCGAGGATGAGATCGCGCCAGAGGCGACACACGAGCATGAGCTGGTACGGAGAGCCCAGCCCGCGTTGTGGTGCACAGATCGGGTAGGGCGGCAGGTAGCGGAGAAGGACTTCGAGCAGGAGTTCGTTTGGGAGGGTGGTGAGTGGGTGTGGGGTATCCAGACGCAAAGCTGCAAGCTCAGTTTCTGGAGTGGGGCTCATTTTTGGGGGAGTGGAAGTGAGAGCGAAGGTCTGGTGACACCACGTGGCGAGAAGGGTCATCGTCTGATGAAAGATCGGATCATATCGCTCTTGACGACGCTCATCAACTTCCAGTGGGCGCTGCAATTCCGGCCCCCGGTTGACAGAAGGCACCTATGTCCATGCGTATTCCCGACCGAGCTGTGCGTCTTCACCTCAGCTAGGGTTTTTATCAGCTATGACTTTCGTCGTAGAATACTTATCATCTAACAGTTCCTGCCAGTGCGCTTTTCGTCTCTGTTCTCTTTCTTGTAGTAGAGTAGAATGAGCGGCCAATGCGATTGACGGCGCCGAATTGCACTACCGCTGCGAGATTTTGAATCGCTGACTGCTACCGTGGTGTCTGTGGAGGTGCCCGCCGGCGCCGTGAATAGCAAGTATCACACACCGTTGCGGTTCTCCCTAGGCTGTCCCCCCTTTCACTCCCACCTCCACCTCGACAGTCTCCTCCCAATGTCGGGGGCGCTCAGAATGCACAGTGTATTCCGAAATCCTACGCGCTCATAGGCCATAGCAGCTCCGCCCCACCCAGCCGGTTCTTGCCTCCTACGGTCTTGAGCGTAGCATGAAAAAAGTAGGAGACATTCCAAGGCGTGTCGCCAGCTCATACAGTAAGTAGGCTGAGCCCTCATCAGCCTTTAGACCTACACTAACCCCTCCACCACGTCGCGCTCACGAGCAACAAACACGCTAAGTACAGAAGCACGCAAACCACAAATCACATTTCAGCAGCAGGCACGTATACGCATACTCGTACATTCGCAGATCGACAGTCACTTCTTCTTTTACCTAGCATCTCTTTTATGAGGCACGAGAAACAAGAACGGCGCGCTCAGGCGTCGGCGGTGGTCGCGCCGTTGGGACAGTCGCGCGAGATGTGGCTGCGGGTCATGAGGATATGGATTGTAAGGTGGGCGAAAAAACGCACCCTTCGCTGCCGCACGTGTAGCACGCGCGACGTTGTGCCTGGGGGCAGTCGCGGCTGATGTGGCCCTAAAGCTCCAGTCAGAACCCCTCGCCATAAAAAACGAAACGGCAACTCACCACATCGCCGCAGTTGTAGCACTTGCTGCCCTGGACGCAGTCCCGGCTCAAGTGGCCGACTCCGCCACAGGTGTAGCACGTTTTGCCGCCATAGCCTCCGCCGGCATGACCGCCTCCATAGCCTCCGCTGGAGCCATAGCCCCCGCTGGCGCCGGCCTCGGGACATGCGCGGGCGATGTGCCCAGTTTTGCCGCAACGGTAGCACTCGGTCCCTGCGCGCCCGCCACCGCCAGAGGAGAAGCCCCCGCCGGATGCGGTGTTCTCGGGACACTCGCGCGACTGCAAAGTGGGTAAGTGAATAGCAAACGAAACAAAAAAGGCACGGAATGGTGGTGGGGAAGTAATCAAGGTGGATAAACACGAAAGCTAATGATAGATGAAGAGCGCCCACACTAGCGCCGACAAGCACGGAGCGCTCACACAGGCGCCGATGACGAGGGTAAGGGGAAAGAAGGGGGAGACGGGAGGGGGGAGAAAAAGGATCACGCACGATGTGTCCGTCCTGGCCACACTTGTAGCACGCTTTGGGCTTCGCCTCCATCGTGCAGTCGCGCGACACATGGCCCTCTAGGCCGCCTGTCATGACCACCATCAGCGTCATCGTCTCCACAGGAATTTGGGCGGGGCATACAGTTGTAGCTGGGGTATCGTCAGCAGGGAGACACAGAGAGGAGGGCAGCAGGCGTACCAGGTTGGGGTGCCCGCCTTGGGGCAGTTCGCAGCTTGGTGGCCGACTGCAAATGTCAGAGCCGAAAGGGTCATTGTCCAAGGGCAGCGCCAACGTCCCCGGTGCGCAGTTCACGAGTCACAGACGCATGTGTGGGGGAAACGGTGTATTGCACGACCACGACCACGGCGACAGCGACAGCGGGTAAGGAGGGGGGGAAAGCAGAGCAGAAACATCGTCAGCGAAACGTCCCCGGTAGGTAGAGCGTACGTAGGGGGGAAACGGGGTGGAAGGAGAGTAGGGGGAAGGGGGATAGAATACGTGGGGGACGACGACGACGACGACAACGCACAGCCTCCACAGTTAAAGCAGCCTCTTGCGCCGGACATCGTAGTAGGGGAGTAAGGAGGAGAAAAAAAGGCAGTGCACGTCACGACGTGTCACGCCGTCAGTGTCAATCACGTATGGTTGCCTGACGGCGTGGGAAGCCCTATCGTTCGGGCTCATGAGACGGTCAACGGCAGTTGCGGGCAATAGAATCTGGCTCATCAGCGTCATCACCCTGGACTTAAGTAGAATGTACCGTCTCCCGTCCATTCCTGGCGTTCATTGGGCATCTCAGCCATGCCTGGTTATGGACAACCGTGCCCTCATCGCCGACAATCGGGAAAAGTTGCTTTTGTCTCCAGGGTTCCCATTTTGATTTAGGTGCTCAATTAACTTTTCTAGAACAATGTTGTAAAGAAAAAATCACGGGCTTTATTTTCTACCTTGAACATTCATTGCATAATCACAATTTGTATTTGAATATAATCCCAGAAATTAACAAGTACTTATTGTCTTTCAAAAATGAGGATATTGAGATGAGGGTAAACAAAAGGGAATAAGATAGGTACTGATTTGAGACATGACATTGCATGTAGTATATATATATATCCATAGCATCACATTAATAGTTCTGTTAGCTGGTCCTATAACAGTGTGGAGAGTTAATTTTGCTCCCAAAGTTTAATGCAAGGGGGGCGCAAGGTGGAAATTACATACATAGGCAACTGGCATGTAATTCTGCAAAATGCTACGGCTATTGAATCTGTGCATCTGTGTGTGGTGCCACTTGGCTCCACTTAGTGTGCTGCGGCTCAGACAGTGTCTAGTAAGTGATTTGGGCCCAAGTTCTCTCTTGGCTGACACCTGGACTAGCTCCTTTGTTTCCTGTTTTTTTTTAGCACTGAAGGCTGCCCTGTCCTAAAGCGCCTTACGAGTGGCTGGACCTGAGGATAGTTTAACAGGTACCTGAGACCTCCATCCGCAGGTGTAGCCATCCACAGATGGAGGTACCCTTTTTCCCACAGATGGCAAGGAGTGGAAGTCTTGCATTTAGTTCTCAAAGATACCTGTAAATTCATTGAAATAGCCTCAGAAGTGGCCTATAATATATCATACAGCCTCAGATAGTGCCAGTTATACTTGTATTTTGTATATCAACTTAAAGTATGATTTCACTGCTCTGTATTTCCTTTGTTTATACCTAATCTACCTTTGTACCATCTGCAGGTACCCATAAAGGTACCTGTATCCATAGATGGAGGTACCTCACAAGCATAAATACTCAAGGATGGAGGTATGACTGAATTGCCTGAAAAAACCTGCAGGTAAGTAGAGGTACCTTACCTGTGCCAGTCGTGAGGTGCTTTACCTGTCCCCTCCTCCAAAACTTCGAAAACCCCAATTATGTACCACGTATATCCCGATTTAACCACATCCTCAAAGAACCATCTGTTCAGGGGCCAGTCCATCCGGCATAGTGACGTCTAGGGCCAGGCTGCCCTGTTAAGCCCTGGTTAGAGCCAGTGTCAGGGGAACACCCTCCAGCACCTGTAATCCATCCCGACTGTTGCCCATTGCCTATTGCCTTCTTTATCTGCACGATTATCAATCCATCAAGACCCTCCAACAATCACCTTGGAACAGAGCCTGCAACACCACTCAGGCCTTCTGTGCTCTACATCGGCAGTTATGGATAGCCAGTATATAGTTGGCACCCTAGCAGGTGTCAGGGGAACCCCCACTTCGGCCTCCTTTGGACCGTCCAAGTGCATCCGAGGCACATCCAACCGCCGCCCACTCGAATGCTCCGACCTACCCCGACCCTCGTCCTCGGCCTCCTTTGCCCGCACAATCACCAATCCGTCAAGACCCTCCTAACCGTCACCTTGAGACAGAGCCTGTGACGCCCGCTCAGGCCTTCTGCACTCTACATCAGCAGCTATGGACGACCAGTATATAGTTAGCGCCCTAGCAGGCGGACCCTTAGAGTTTTTTCTCTTTAGATCCTCCCCCTGGCTTTCGTCGGAGTCTCCAGGGTTGCCCTTACAGCTAATGGACCCTTAAAGTTTCTTCTCTTTGGATCCTCCCCTGCTAGGTTGGTCCCTCCGTTTATTTCCTGTAACTTTAGATTTTTTACCTGCTAGCTAGGATTCTCATCAGAGCCTCCAGGGTTGCCCTTACAGCCCAGCTTTCCAGGGCTCGGGCTTGGGAGGAAGCTGAGCCCCAGCCCTCAGCTAGGGCTCCAAACCTTTCCATTTGTAAATAGTTCAAATGGTTTCTACTTATACTATGGTTCCCTGTGACCCGGTTTTTTCCAGTGACCCGGTTTTTTTGATTTCATGCTGTAGCACCTCAATGTATGCACTCAGAATGTCACAGAATATATTCTCTGGATGATTGTCTGTTCTTTCATTAAATCTTTGAGGTCATTGGGGAACTTAAACTTTAATTCTATGAAAAAAAAAACATCTATAGAGCATCTGTGGGTAGGCAAAAAAAAAAAAAACAGGTCACTGGGAAAAAACCGGGTATTTAAGGTCAGAAGTATACTAAGGTGAAGAGTAATGGGCAGGAGAGTAGTCTGAACTTGTATGATGTGCCTATCAGCATATGTGTGTATGCCTGCTTCGAAACAGGCCTAGGTATGCGCAAGGAGTTGCAATAATTTTTGCTCTGTCAGATCACGGCATCACTGACGGCATCACCTAAGTCATAGGAAGTTATATGGCCAGAAGTGCAGCACAGTGCCATATGAGTCTTTGAAAGATGTGCCATGGACAAGTACTGGAAGATCTTGTGAGCATTGTGATGGTATGGTTGGAATTTTTTTTAAAAAAATATTGAGGTGAGAAAGTACCAACAATTAAACTCCATAAATAAGTAACACTTTCATAACTGTGCTGCCCCAAAGTTGGTACATGGCATGAGAATTTGTTAGATATAAGGATTATTTTATGCTGTGTTCAGCACGATGTTATTTGATTATACTTTCTAAATTTCATTAAAATCATGGCACTTATTATGTTGCAATTACAATACTCTGTGAAATGAAATACTCTTACTATCTGCATTAAACCAAGGGGGGCGCAAGATGCCTATCACGGCTATGGGGCAGGGGGGGGTCCAGAGCCTAGAAAAAAAACTTTTGTGTTTGGTGTAGGGATGCTTCAAGAGGTACTTAGGAGGCCTTAGGAGGCCTTTCATATGTAGATCTTCCATGTTAAATGCCATTTTATACCTTTGAATGCAGTGAAACCCAGTTTTTTTGGTGAAGTGACTAAACTTGTCACAGTCTTTGATAGCATCAACATATCATCATGATGCAAGAAGCAATACAACTTTATATGAAAGTTCATTTAAAGGCATAGGAACATTATAATAGCCTAGTCACAATTTAATTTAATCACATTTTCCATTTTCAAGACCTCTATCGATCATTTTGATGCGATTTTGATCGCATCAGTCACGTTTTCGTGGGAGATCATTACTATATAAGGCAGGAGGGGGAGGGGGGGGGTCCAGTGGGCGCAAAAAAAAACTTTCAGCCCTATGCATGATGCCCCACCATTGCCCACCACACAAGACTATAGCTGTCACTAGCTGTGACAGAAGAAGCCGGGCCGGGTTCAGCCACACGGATCACCAGGCGCAAATAGAACAGGTGTAAAGAGTGGATTCTCCCTAAAACTCTAATTACTACAGGACTTATATACTACAGGAAAAGAATGATGTCATTGGAGTACACATCCTGCACATATCAGCGGCAATGCACAAAGAATCACAAGTAAGACAATTATCTAATTATTACACCAGGGCAGCGGCGGAGATGTGCTCCGGTCCGCCACACTAGTAGCTATGGTTGCACTGGACATGGAGGAAAGCAAGGCAGTTAGAGACTATGTTGAGCCTTGCAAGAGTGATGATCTACAGTCTCTAATTGGTGTCAATTGATTTGGCATGAGAAAGATCAGTGGTAAGGGTATATAATGGTAAAAATCACCTGATAAGTCTATCTTTGATGAAACATTGCTAATATTGTGGCTTCTGTTTTCCCCCAAACAACTCTAGCGCTTCCAAACCCCCACCCCAGCTCTCCAGTTTAGTCTAGCGTCACTCGCTCCGCACCTTGTACAAGTGTTGAGTATGGATAAGACGGCTGTGCACTGCTTGTTCCTGTTCCTAGCTCCTAGTTGGTAGTCTATGAAAGTCCAAAGTCATCCTCTTCTTCTCCCTCTCTGGTTGTGCTGTAGCCTTTGGTTGCAGTTAGAGCAGAAGGGCTCTTGCTTTTCTTGTTCTTTCTCACATCTGTGAGAAAGCTTGTCAATAGGTATTGGTACAGTTGCAGACAATCAAACCTCATAACTTTTATTATACAAGACCTGAGTACAAAGTAGCCTTAGCTCTATTCAGAATCAGATTCAGAACCTAAAAAACCCTTACTGACAAATTTTCAGGAATTATATAGGCCAAATATTTTTGGCCATTTCAACAACAATATTGTGGACCTCAGTAACTCTGGAACAATATGTTAATTACATATACTAGACAGGGCTATGCCCCAGCTTTCAATGTTACCTGAATAAAGTGAATTTCTAAATGATAAAAATGTCACAGTTTGGGTCGGGCCGTGACAGGGGCCAACAGTTCATCAAACACTTTATGAGCAACTTGAGCAAACCGTTGGGGATCAAGATTCGAGCCTTATCAGCTTACCACCCACAGACGGACGGGCAGACAAAACGCGCCAACATGGAGGTTGAGCAGTACCTTTAGACATTCTGCAATTTCCAGCAGAGCAATTGGTCTGACTGGCTCTCCCTTGTCAAATTTGCATTCAACGACAAAGTGAACTCTTCTACAGGGTTCTCACCCCTTCTTCCTGACGCTGGGGTTTCACCTGAGAAAGGGTATTTGTCAGGTCATCAGATTGTCAGTTTTCGTCAGGTCTGCCGATTCCCGCTATAATGTTGAGATGCTGGCGAAGATGCGAAGGTGTGCCCAGTCTTGGCAGTGCTTGGCCCTGCGGGGCGCCGCCTGTTGCCACACTGTCGCTGCACTCTCAAAATGGCTCCCACTGTTTTGATCCGCCAGCACCATGTCACGATCAATTGCCTCCGTCTTGAATCACAATGAACTCGACATGACGGACTCCAGTCACAGTGCTTGTCAACTTGAAGTCCGAGTTGCGGGTGAAGCATGTGTGTAAGTATCCTTTCATGCTTTTGGGCAATGACTGACCCATGACAGAGCCAAGTGTGGCCTTCATAAGGGTTTTGGCCGATCATTGGCTCTCCACCAGCACCTCCCCAGTTATTCTGTGGAACAACAGCACTACAATCAAGCACGCACCGAGACATCAACTCAGAGATCGCCCTGGCTCGATAGAAGCATCACGATAGTGCAGAAATAACCTCAAACCCGAGGCGCAGTGAGTGGTATGATGGCAGACTGGTGGGATGGGAAGCGGGAATGGATGCCAACATGAATGCGCAGTCACTACTACAAACATATCCATTGCCTTTCCCATCAAAGAAGCCGACTTACCGCCTGAGTGCCGCAATAACAGGGTGGGGTAAAAGATGTTCTATGCCTTCGATACCACATGCGCACTTCTAAACGATCTACATCTGCAACATGGACTCAGAGGAGGGAGGCAATTGACTTGTCAACCTCAAGCGACGACGGATTGGCCTCTACGCCAAGGTCAATCTTTGCATGATGGCCATTTGCTATAAGGTCAGTATTCAACTCCCCGCTGTCCTGTGGTTGATTCTCGTTGCTCCAGTGTGCAAGGCCAATCCTGTCGAAGAGCGCAAGTGATGGACATAACCAATCATTTAGCATTCAGCATCGACTAACGGTATGTACTCTGGCCACTCCTTCTCAAACTGCTCCCAAAACTTCTGCACATATTCACGAACTAACATTGCTTTTCCATCGACTTCGAGACTCCAATTTAGATTCAACTTGCGCCGTTTAGAGTCAGTCTAGGTTTTTTTGTCCTCATGACGTGTGGCGGGCTGCCATTTACGATTCAACTTTCTCACCTGAGGAGAAGATGGTGCCGGTGCAACTGTGACAGTTGAAGGAATGTTGGCCAAGTCAGTGTGGGAAGTAGGTGTGCTGTTAACGTTGGGAAGATTGGGTAAATGATCTAGAACATGGTTATGGTCGGGCAAATCCCCAGGCGAGACTTGGGACTGTGGGACAACAAAAACATGACCCGACGAGTTGGACTAGACATAGATAAGCAGGCTAATAGAAAATAGGGCAATTTCATATGTTTGCCTCGTCCTTGGCCAGTTGGAGGTCTTCTTGAGCACTCTCGAGCTGTCATTTGAACACCTTGACTCTTTGCCGAGCAAGTTCGGATGGTTCGTTCTGAGATAACTGCATGACTTGCATGAAATAGAGCTTGGTAAACCACACCTTTGCTTGTTCGCGGGCATTTAGAAAGTAACTCTTTTGCCTCTTGGATCAGGGTTTCACATAAGCGGACCTTCGAATCAGACACTCGGGTGCAACGGTTCTTCTCTGCCACACCCAGCTTCCGCAATGTTGACTTCACCAGCCGATCGACTGGCTCATTGTACATGTGGCGCAGGTCTCCTGTCAACTCACCTTGCCAAATTCGGGCCTCGACGGATGCATCCAGCAGTTCATACCTAGACTTTCTCAGATGTGCAGCATGATAATGAAAGTTACTGACTTTTCCATCGACTCAATAACTGTCATTGAGACACCTGTCTGAACATTGTTCCAGCAATGCTGGCCTTCTCCAAGATTAGTGGTGGCTGGAATGAGATGCCAGTCGTCAACAGGCATGTGAGATAAGCACTGAACCAACCCGGGCAAAAGCCAACAGTGTTTTTTCTTATGGGCCCACCAGGCTGAAAGCACCTCAGCAAACATGTAAAGAAACAAAGATGAAAAAATCACCACCAAGAGCGCCAGTCTCATTGTCTACTGTCGCTATCCACTCCTCAAAGTCGTCAACCTCCTCCACTGATTCACAGTATTTTAAGTCCCGGAGCTGCTGCCGAATGCTGGTTGGCAGATGCTTCAGATTATCGATATCGACACCACTATATTCACAATCAGATTAACTCGTTAGGCTAATATCGTCTATTCTCTGGGCTAAACCCCACCTTCCGTGCTCCTCAGACCCACTCGAAGTCGGACCACCCGACGCCCCGATACGGCCCGAGCCCGACGCTGACAAAAAAAAAACCACTAATTACAGAATAGCACACAGATATACAATAACCCTCTTAAATATTTGGTCTATTATATACTTATTTATTGATTCAAGTTTGTGGGTAAAATTGAGAATACTTAGTACACACTTGGGTGCCCTAGATATAATGTTTTTATGGTACTGGGTGCAAGATATCATGTACAGCTTTATATCCCAAGTAGGATTGGCCACATTCTACAGCTTTTGTTACCAATTTGGGGCTTCAACAGCAGTGACCCCAAAAATGGAAATGTGGAGCAAATAAACTGCTAAGGGGAGTGCCAAACATCTGCATGCATTCACCTGACATTTGCTTAATATAAGACTCAAGAGTAATAAAAGAAACTATGACTTGTTTGGGTCTACGAGTCTTGAAGTGAAGCAATTTATAAGTGTATTATGCCCAAGACTGTTGTTCTAATTTCCGAGCAAGCCCCGCCGCTCCTTAGCGAGTTCATCCACGCGCTCCCAAAATCCAGATCCACACAGCACACCTGCCTTCCAATCATCTTGCCACTCAGGCCACCCCATCCGGGCCATCCCGCGATGGAACAGGAGGCACGCGGGGTGCTCCATCAACCGCTCGTCCAGGGGAATGTGTGCAAGACGTTGGTAGGCCATGACAAAGACGGATAAGGACATGTGTGGGTCGGAGAGTGTGTCAAGCAGCCGATTTAACGACAGCACGTCATGCTGCACGACTTCGTGATACCTGTCGCCGGTGTCGATCGCCAGGTGCGTGAGCGCGGGGAGCGCGAGGACCGCGTCCCACAGCCACGGGTCGTGGTGCCACAGGAGGTGGAGGTGGGTGAGGCGGGCCAGGGCCGAGAGCTCCACGGACTGGGATAGGGTCATCCCGAAGAGCAGCATTAGGTTGCCGGTGAGTCGCCGGAGATGCAGCAGTGCACTGAACATGTCGACCGGGCGGCTACGCGCACGGAACTGTCTGAACAGGTCGACCGCGCCTCGCGTTGGTGTGTGCGTCTCGATGGTGACGGCGTGGACAGCAGGACATCGCTGGAGGACGGCGCTGATGTCTGATTCAGAGAGCCATCCGCCGAAGAGGAGGCGCTCGGTCAGCTGGGCAATGAGCGAGCGAGAATGGCTTTGAGCGACGAGATGGTCGAAGATTTCGGGTGACAGAACGGGGAATGGCGTATCTGGGTGCGGAAATGCATCGGGACTCGGTTTCTGGATGATGACCAGAGCACCGGAGAGCAGCCGTTCCACCCTACGCCACTCGTCAGCACTTGTCAGCAGAGCTCAACTGTCCACGCACGACTCCTTCACCCATGACGCGACCCGCATGAGCGTCGGGATGCCTCGCGGGTGCTGCATCGATGCCTCGCGGAAGATTTTCAGCTCGAGCTCGCGGGGGAGGCGCAGGGCGACGTCGGCCATGCTGTGAGGCAAAAGCAACCTGCGATGAGCCAGTTAATGACAGGTGACATAGACATTGTCAGGTTGCTGCCTGACAACAGCAACCACTCGCGACACCCGCCACAGGCCGCGGCGGCACTGGCACCAGACATTGATTCTAGCAGAGCAGAGCCTGGGGACTCACAATGGGCCGGCGCTGGTAAAAAGGGCGTCGACGCGTCGTCACTGTCGTTGTTCTGAGCAAAAATGGCGCCACGAAGCAACGGATCGGCGGATCATGCAAATAATCGTCAATTGTGACCATCAAAGGTTCCCACGCCACCACGTTTTCCTCCGAACCACCATGAGCACGCTGCTTCCCAACGAGCTCCTCCTCGAGATCTTCTCACGCATGTCCCGTGTGGACCTGTGCAGCACCTCGCTAGCATCCCACGCCTTTTGCGCCCTCGCCCGCCCGTTAATCTTTACCACGCTGTACTTCCGGCCGTACGCCTTTGACGACAATGTTGGCGTGCTGTGCGCCCCGTCCGGAGCCCAGGAGGAAGAGCTCGCAGCCAAGCTAGCGCTTTTCAGCTCAACCTCGATTACGCCCAACGTACGCTTTGTCTGGGTCAATCGGCTGACCTCCTACCCCGGCTTTGCGCGGACGAAGCACCGGATTCTAGACGCCCCCTTTGTCGACAATGCAGACACGCATGCGCTACTCAAGCCGCTCTTTGCTGCTGTCGCATCGTTCCGCAACCTGCGCTGGTTCCATGCGGAGCGGATTCCGTTCACACCCGGGGCTATCGACGCGCTTTCGCAGTTACTTGGCCTCCATAAATTGGACATCTCGGCCTGCACGCTATTGCTGCCTCTGGATAACATCTCTTTGCTCCACGTGGTTGAAGTTGTTATCCGCGGGGGCGGCGACTGCGGGCCGTGGCTGGCGTGCATGTCCCCGGCCAAGCTTACGAGCGTGAGCCTCTCTTTCGTCCCCCATATCACCGCCCGCGCCCTGGCCATGCTGCCCGTCTTCTCGCGGGTGACCCAACTGAAACTCCCCCTCGCCCACGCAGAGCTCCCCACCCTCCTCCCTCCGCTCGCCGCCGCCTTTCCCGCCGTGGAATCGATCGAAATCGACGGCTTTGCTTTCCAGGCCACCGCCGTGACCTACCGCTCGCAGCCTTCTCAGCTGTTTCCTCAGCTCATCGCACTAGAGTCCGAGTGCGAGGGGGCATTCGCCTTCCTCCCGCGGAGCCGGATCACGGACTTGACGCTGCGCAACGCCGAGGCCAATGAGCTCTGCCTTGCGCTGGCTGCGCTCCCGCCTGGGTGTGCTGAGGCGATCACGCGGCTGCAGGTGGCGCTGGATTGGCTCCCCGGCCCCGACGTCCCCGACGTCCTTGCGCACTTCCCGGCGCTGGAGTGGCTCGCGCTGGAGCTCGTGTTCTACGGCGCTGCCGACCGTGAAACGACCGAATCAGTAGGTTGATCCTTCTGCGGCCACTACTGGATCCTGACGCACTTGCAAGATTCTCGCATTCGTTACCGCGCTCCCATCACTCCTTCCGGCTTCGCTTCTCTCGCTCCGGCTGCGGGCCGAGGAGCTGTCCTATGGCGTGGACGACGATGAACTTGCTGCTGAAGAGGGGTCGCCGCTGGCTATTCCGGACACGCGCGGCCTGCAGGCGGCGCTTGTCGTGCGCTGCCCGGCGCTGCATGCGGTTGACATCTATGTCCCGCGCCTCCAGCTGGAGTGGTACGCGAGCATTGGATTTGAGACGGAGCGCATGGGCGGGGCGTAGACAATTACAAAGACGAGACCGGGAACAGCAATAGATTTTGTTGTAAGAAGACAAACTTCATTGAAGATCACACTTACACAACGCAGATCAGCTCACGATGTACGTCAGGGGTGTATGTTTTGAGCATGGCCCTCGCAGCCACATCGTTGGCTCCAATATTCTCGGCCTCCCGCCGCGGGCGACTCGGGCATCATCCTTAGCTTACGCATCACGGAAGCCAGGGGTGATCCCCATTCCGAAACATCGAAGACGAATCTGGGCAGGACATCCCTCCCCGCACCCCGCCGGACGCGTCTCGGGTGAGGGGGCACAGTTGCATAAGTTGAAATGGCAGCACTGCCTGCTCTGTGGGTTTCTGAATAAATACCAGCCTGCGCAATGCACTTTCCCCAGTCCCAGTTCCAGTTCCAGTTCCAGTCCCACACCCGCCCGCCTACCAGCACCACCCACAATGCAGTTCACCGCCCTCCTCGCCACGCTTCTCCTCGCCGCGTCCGCCCGCGCCGCCATGCTGCCCACCCCCGGCACCCAGCTCACGTGGTACGCCGGCGCGGAGTGCACCGGCGAGATCATCGCCGGCAGCCTTGACATCGAGGACGGCAAATGCATCCAGTTCTCGACTGGGGGCGCACCCAGCCAAGTGAAGAGTGTCTCCTGGCGCCACGCCAAACGCGTCCGTTTCTTCGAGTCGGGCGGCGCATCCGACCAGTGTTTCGGCCAAACATTCCACGGGTCCACCGAGGCGTTCGGCTGCTTGACCGCGCCTGCCGGGTAAGTGAAGTTATATCACAAAGCAGCTCACGCCAACGTTCGCACAGGTTCAACTGGCAAAGTGTGCTCGTCGGCGAGCCCCGGGTTCGCTCGGCCCAGCCCACCCAATCTCAGTGATTCATGCGGTGTAAAGATAGCAATGACGTCGGACTCGTAGAGTACACCATGAACGTTAACGAATCACGCTTGTTTATGTTTTGTCTATTTCTGTCGAAAGTCGGCCGAGATATCCGAAGTCCGCGGCCGATCGTCGGATGTGACGTGGCTCAAACCCCTTGTCCCGTCTACTCATGTCCAGCCTCGTCGGTCGCACGATGTATGCGGCTTCAAAGGGCCACCAGAGCTGCTGGTGTGTCCCTCAATGGAATCTTGTCTCGAATCACTACTTACACGTCGTAACGATGCCGCCTTCAGCCCCAGGGCCGGGCTACAAGTTCACGCGTTTCAAACTTCCTTGGGCACCGCTGTCTTCTTAACCCGCCACGGCCGACTCGGGTAACGCAGGCCCTGTGCTAAGTTTCTTGCAGTACGGAAGTCAAGCTAAGTCAAGAAGGATCGTCAATCTAGAACTGCGAGGAGCGCGCTTAACAGATGCAGCTGCGAGAGTGGCAATGACGGCACTGCCTACTGCGCATATCGGGATCCCGGGCCGAGTCTTGGATAAAGGCAGTCACTCTTGCTGGCATCATCGCCCGGTACTACTCCAGCCTCCCAGCCCCCACGTTTCAGCTATGCAGTTGACCACTCTCCTCGCCCCGCTCTGCATCGCCGCCTCCGCCCAGGCCGCAGAGCTTATCTGGTACGCAGGCCCCGAATGCACCGGCGCCTTCGTTGGCAGCAATCCCGACCTCAAGGAGCGCACTTGCGTCGATTTCTCCAGGAGTGGCGACCCCAGCGAAGTGAAGAGCGTCGCCTGGACCGGTGTCGAGCACATAAGCTTCTTCGAGACGACCCGGCGCCAGCCCGACGACTTCTGCTTGGGCGAAAGACGCTATGTGAGCACCGATCCCTCGGGCTGCTTCACCGCGCCGTACCGGTGAGTGCCAGTGGCGTGGATCCCCGCAGGCGGCAACTAACGATGCGCATAGACGTAAGTGGAAGAGTGCCCGAATTGCCAGTGGCGCCCGCGACGAGCTCGCCCCACCAGCGGCGGAAAATGACCTTCAGAAATTTTGAAACTGCTTTCAAATATTGTAGACAGTTTTAAAACTTGCCAAGTGCTTGTAAGGCTCCAACCCAATCCAATCTATCTATATATACAGTGTGGCAAAAAAAAAGATTTTATAGTATTACTCTTATATTAAGCAGATGTCGTGTGAATGTATGCGCATGTTTGGTATTAGCTTTAACAATTGATTTACTCCGCACTTCCGTTTTTGGGGGCCACTGCTGTTAAAGTTCTAAATTGGTAAGAAAAGCTGTAAAATGTCACCAATCCTGATTGCGATGCAAAGCTGTAAGTGATATCTTGCACCCAGTACTCACACCGCATTTGGTAAAATATCCCTTGAAGTAGAAACTGTTCTAGATTCTGGTAGAATCTAGAACCAAATCAACCTATGGAGATTTGCCCAAAATATACATTTTTGAAACTGAGAATGATTTTAGTCAAATATATACTAGTTTTAGGCAGTCTGAGATGAAAACTATCTATGGGACTGAAACTATGCCTGAAATGGTTGATATCTGTGCACATATATTTGGTCATGATATCATGCACATCAAATGTGATGAAACTGACAGTGAAACAAAGGATTTCACTGACAGTTTCAGCACAGATGATACAAAGGAAATCAGCAGTGGAGAAATGCACATAGATTCTCTTTGTTTCTATTTGCATTTCTCCACTGCTGAAACTGTAGGTTTACAGTACAATGAAATCATTGTTGAAATCTCAAATTTATTCATGCCAGAAATTCAACTACTAGGAAAGTGCAAAGACTGGTTTACAGGAATTGTGAGGTCTATAAACTGAGTGTTGGACCTTGAGGTGCGTGTATGAAGATATTTAAATGTCTACTAGGACCCTATACCAGAATCAGTTGTGGTTCTGGAGTGTGCTACTAAAGGTAGCTGAAGAGAGGGTCGAGTGTCTTCGCTATTACCACTGGTCAGAAATTAATTTCAAGTATAATAAAAGACTTGAACTTAGGATTGTATAGAACCTTAAATAAACCTGTCCAGCACTTGAATCACCCTCATAGCTAAGGACCATTATCAATATTATCTATTCCAATAATGATGAGTTCACCATGGTATAACCTTGGTGAATCTGGGGAATCTGAGTATATATAATAGTAGGGATATAGTATACCTCCCAGAAACTGGTGCCCCTGCCCCTCTAGGATATCTCTATACTAGGTTAGATAGCACCTGAGGGATCTAGGAATTCAGTGACCTCAACACTTTCTGTGGGGTCACTAGTCGGTAGGATTATCACACGGTAAATTCAAATCTTTCTTTTCCCTCAGAAACATGAACACAAATATCACCTTTTAATATATATTTCCTTCTGAAAGAAATAAGATATTTTATCTGAATAAAAATAGACACTAAAATGATTTCTTTTTATCCATCTTTAAGTACTGGAGAAAGACTCTCTTTTCATCACAATGAAAGAGCAATTAAAAGACTGCCATTTTGTCCAACTTTCTGTCTACAACAAATTGTGACACCTATAGTGCACCATATTCCCCTCTAGTTAGAGGGTCAGGACCCCCCACGCTGACCCTCTAACTAGAGGGGTTTGGAGCCCTATAGGGCACCCCCGCTAATTCTACCTTAGCACACTGCTCTTCTCAGCGAGGAAGAGCACCTGCTGGCCCGGCCCTTGCCCACCGTCACCCCGCCATCACCCCCGCCGCTCGCTGCCCTGACCCCGCCCACCCTGCCATCGTTGCCATCAGCACGATGTGACGTCAACCCGATCAACATCAACACCATCTGTCAACGCCGTGGCAACCGTTGACGCCGCATGTTCCGCGGCTGTCCCGGCCTGTCGCCGTTGACAGCCCGCCCCCCGCGCTCGCTGTGCTCGACGTCGTTGAGCACAGCAAGCTCAATTTTTGTCCGTTTGACACGGGACCACGTGTATTTGATAGATATGATGTAATACCGTTGATTTCGGTCACATTTAGGCCCGCGTGTGCGCCGCTTGCCCGGCCGACCCTCCTGCCCGCCGTCCCGCCGTCCCGCCCGCCCCCCCGCCCCTGCCCGCCCCCTGACCCAAAAATTAAAAGTTGGGGAATCACAAAAGAACATGTGCCATATAAGTGGCACCACTCAAATTGCGTTTGTTGCTGAGATATAGCGCGTTCTTGTTAACTCAAGTTGATGATGTAATTTTTCAAAAAAATAAAAAAAGTTGTGTATTGATGGGAAAGCACGGGCAGTACAAGTTTCACCAGAAAAGACGTGTTCATTATCGAGATATGACACGTTCTTGTTAACTCACTCTGCCACTAGGTATGGTTGTTAACTCAATTTTGACCAATATGGTTGTTAACTCAAATGTCCCTATCATTATCCTCTGTAATTCGTACAATCTGGTCAAAAGCCTCATTTAGGCCCTCCACCTCCTCATCATCTGTTTCAAGACATATAATATTTCTGTGCTACCCTAGGGTATACCTTGGGGTATACCCTAGGGTACACCTTGCAGCTCAGGTAGGGTTACCTTGGATGATATTGTGACAGAATGTTTATGTGATTGCCTACAATGCCCACCAATCACGTCATCATGACGCCCAGCTCCGCTTTGATCCTTGAAGCTGCGCTGCGTCCAAAATTCAAGTCAAACTGTCAAAGTGATTGCTTATTATGAACAATATATACATGAACAGTGTATCAAACTACTCTACACTACATTATACGGAGCACTTCAGCCTCAGACTTGATAAAACTGATCAGTTGTTCAATATCTCGGATGATTCCGCTGCGCCCACCACAGAGAAGCAGATCATGGAGTTCAATGTGGTTGTGACCACAGACGGAACAGGGCACCCTCCCGAGCCAGGCGGGCCTGAACCATTCGTGGCAGGCCTTTTCTGCGCTGTGTTAGTACGACAACGCGGGCACGAAAAGAAGTGCTACCCCTTCGCTTGCAATCCCGGACATGCCACATTGCAGCCCAGTAGCGAGTGGTGCACTTGTTGAGCTGTCGGAGGCGATTCTTGGGTAAAGATGTGTGTCCGATCTTGAAAACGCGCTGCCCATTTCGCAATTTGAGGTCCAAGGCGTAGATTACACCAGGACCGTCTTTGGGCGGAGAGTGGTGATGGTTGGAGATCAGTAGTGCTCGCGCTTGAATGGCGAGACGGAATTGTTGAGGGGATGGGAATTTGAGAGCGAGGGTTAACGCGCGGGTGCGAGCATCTATGGTGCCGCGTACAATGCACATCATAGGGAAAGAGGGAGAGAGGCATCAAGGGCGAGAGCGGGCAAGCAGGGGAGGGTGGCGGGACCAAGCGTTAGGCAGGCGAGCACGACAGAGGGTGTGGTCGGGCGCAGGCGGACGGGGGCAGGGCTGGCAGGTGGCAGGGGAGCGGGCAGGCGTGAAAATGGCGCGGTGAGCGTGAAAGGCGCGGGAAATCAGCAAAAGTCAGCGGGGACGCGTGAGACTGGGCGTGAGAGAGCTCGGGCAGGCGTGAGAGAGCGCGAGAGGGCGCAAGGGTGCAAGACTGGGCGGGGGAGGGCGCTGGACGGCGCTGGATAGGCCGGTGTGGGCGGCAGGGACTGGGATTTGGGCGGGAAATGGTGGGAAATGGTGGGAAATGGCGGGAGGGTGGTAGATGGGGCCAGATATGGCCGGGAAACGGCGAGGGAGGCTGCGGGATGGGTGAATATGGACTGGATGGGCCAGATCTGAGCAGATCTGGGCAGATTTGGGCAGGAAACGGCAGGAGAGCGTATGGATGGGCCAGATATGGGTGGAAGAGGGCAAGACGGTGCTGGATGGGCCGAATATGGGCGAGAGGGCGTTGGATAGGCCAGAGATGGGCCAGGGATGGGCCAGAGATGGGCCAGAGATGGGCCAGAGAGGCCGGTAGAGGGCGGTAGAGGGCACGGGCAGGCGCGAGAGAGGCGCGGCGGGCGCGAGAGGGCGCGGCAGGCATGGACTGCGTGGGTCAGCCAACGGGCGGCGCAAGCAAAGGTTGGGCGGGTAGGGGTGTTTGGCTGGCGGCAAGGGTCAGCCATCACCCTGTTAGGGTCAGCTGTCATAATTAGGCAACTCGCATATAACTCTGCAAAATGCTAGGGCCCTCGAATCTGTGCATCTGTGTGTGTGGTGTCACTTGGCTCCACTTAGTGTGCTAGGGCTCAGACAGTGTCTAGTGAGTGATTTGGACCCAAGTTCTCTCTCTTGGCTGACATCTGGACTAGCTCCTTTGTTTCCTGTTTTCTCCCTAGCACTGAAAGCTGCCCTGTCCCCTCCTCCAAAACTTGAAAACCCCAATTATGTACCACGTGTATCCTGATTTAACCACATCCTCAAAGAACTATCTGCCCAGTCCATCCAGCCCAAGGGTCCAATATTAGAAAATGTATTAAATATGGCCAGGATCTTCAGAACTAGGCTATATATACTGTACCTGACTTTATATGATGTGGCAAAAATATGTTGTATCCAAATTATTATCCCAACACATCTTATGCTGCTATAGCTACAACCCGCTTGCCAGTTGGGCCCGTACCTGGAAGGGTCAGGGTCTGTCAGAGTCAAGTTCCACCTGCCAAGACCCGGACCCAGACCCATGCTTAATCGTAGTGCTGCATACACATATATATGACACTGATCCATTTCAATCAATTTAGTGGGCCTGTGACCTGTTGTGACCCAGAACCATTTGGCTGTTATTTTCAATTACTGAATGTTATATGACCAATTACCCAATTAGGACATTGTGCATGGAAAAAGCTTCCAAATTAGGATACCTTAGGACTAGCTGTGACCTGTGACCTGCTGAAATAAATGTATCCATCAGGTGTGCAGCAACAGGCTACTTAGACCAAATGCAATGCTCAATCAGTTGTCAAACCCTGGGTTCAAAAACCCTTTTTCTTCGGCCTTTAAACCTTTTATTTTGGCCCTGGTTGATAAGATAAGACAAGGAGGAGATAAGATGGATGATAAGATGGTGATTGGATCATCAGATGTCAATGCTGATGTTGATTGACAGCGTGGAGTTGGACATGAGGCAAACAGCACGTAAAGGCATGGCTAAAGTATGATGTCATTGCCTCTTGTATTAGGCATGGTAAACACATGGTAGTAGTGTATATAAGTAGAGTAGATTCCGTCTTGTACCCCAGTCTTCAAATTGCATCATCTTTATGATATCTTTTCACAGTGCTTCTTGCTTGCCTTCACTGGCCAACTGGCATCCTCTGAATTGGTGTTGTTTGTGACATATTCATGATATTATGGATAACCCAACATTTCAGTCATCCCAATTAGGCTTGGTTGCATTTTACACCTTTTCTTACCAGCAGTGACCCCAAAAATAGAAATGTAGAGTAAATGAATTGGTAAAGCAATACATGTGCATACGCGTACATCCATATGATATTTGTTTAATATAAGAGGAATAATAATTATATTATGTTGCATTGTACTTTTATTATATTCAATTAAATTATAAGATTAAGTTAGATGTAAACTAGATTGTAGCTAAATATATTCATAACATATTTCTCTTGTGCAGCTGAATATGATTATACTATAACTACAAATGTATCCTACTGAATTGAAGCTTTGAATATGGTATGATTATAATAAAGTATTAATTCTTCAGAAGAATATTGTCATATTTTAGGTCAACTCAGAGCAGAATTTTGATATCTCATCTTGATCAGCTTTCGGCCGAGTCAGGCCCGAGATATCCGAGTCCGATCATCGGATGTGACGTGGCAAACGGGCCAAACCTTTTGTCCCGAACGCTCATACCCGACATGCCGACCCATCCCGTTCTCGATCCTAGAGCTCCCCTCAATAGCCTCTTGTCTCAGAACAGGACACACGCTGCCTTCGACCCGTCCATACTCGCTAACGCCGGTGGCCCGGTCAAACTGCTTTAGCAGTTTACTTGTCAGTATTTTATACTAGTACTCATGTCAACGAATGCTTATTACCTATTTCAGCATGCATGACTTGCCAAAGCAGTTGGCCCGGTCAACCGATGCACTTCCTTGGACTACAGTCTGCTCCTTGGTAACTCAGGAGTCAGGACCTGCGTTTTCTCACTTGGTAGCACTCAAAACCGGTCGCTGAGTCAAGATTAAGCTTGACCCAGGCAGCGGCACCGCCGGCTCACATTTTTCTTCACCTTCCGCGGCCGACTCGGGTAACGAGGGCACTATCCTTAGCTTCCGCAGCACGGAAGCCGAGGGGGATCGTCATCCCTGCCAAACCGTGATGTGATAACCATGATTCAGCTACAAGAGTTGAAATGACGGCACTGCCTGGTAAGAGCTGCGCCTATCGGGATCTTGGATAAAGCCGCTCCTGTTGCCCTTCCACCTCCGTTATTCCGGCCTACCCGCACCACCACGTACAAGCCATGCTGCTCACCACTCTCCTCGCCTCGCTCTGCATCGCCGCCTCCGCCCAGGCCGCAGAGATTATCTGGTACGCGGGCGCTGACTGCCACGGCGCCTTCGTTGGCCGCAATCCCGACCTCAAGGAGGGCACTTGCGTCGATTTCTCCAGGGGTCATCAGTAAAACTACAGGTTGGTCTTGGAGATCTTTGGTCTTTGAAACAGATCTTTGGTCTTGGAAATAGGTCTTTAGCAGTCTTGGTCTTGGGGAGGATGATCTTTGGTCTTGGGCCATGGTCTTTGGAAATGTTTTGGTCTTTATAAGTTATGCACAAGAAAAATGAATTGGTCTGGAGATAAAGTTGGCTATTGCATCAATACATTTGAGAGCATTCCTTAATAGTTTCTCCAAAAGTTGTATAGACAGAGACATGCTAATTATCATGCTGAATGGCTCTATGGTGAAGCAGGGCATTGGAGCAATAGAGGGGATAGAGGGCCTGTTCCCCACTCCCAAGAGCTACATTGGTTTTGTCACTACTGCCAATCAAGAGAGTGCTCCCAGACTTTGCTTCACTTGTAGTGCCAGTAGTAGTGTCACCCTATAAGACCAGTCAGACTAGGGTGACCAAGAGAAAAGGACATACAGTTTGATGCCAGGCCCACTGGCATGGGCCCAATACAAAGTTCTGGTCAATGTGTCCATTGGTTTTGTTGTGGTCACTGGTGGAGGACATGAAAGTTCGACAGGAAAAGGAATGACAAGTCATTCCGGGGATAGTCGGCTACTCCGGGCATCCAAGCCGCCCAGCGTAACGACGGAGCTTCTGCTGATCATCAGCACATGGTGACGTGACGTCCGTGACCGGTTTTTCGCCACTCTTCCCTCTCTCCCACCACTTCCCTCTCAATCCCCCCCCATACACAGGCCGGCGCTTACACTATGGTAGCTGCGACATGACCCCCCCCGATGCTGAAGGACATTCACTGGCTGAGAATCTAGCGCCTTGCAGCTATTTCTCGTGTGCGGCGCTATTTGCTCTTCCCTCAGAATGCTTCGCGCTGACCTCCTACCAGTGTATATTCTTCCCTGCCCCAGACATATGGTATGTCGGCAAAACACCGCTTAGACGCCCTCTGACACTCCCTACCGCAGCTGCTGTGTTCTCCTGGTGTGCTCGAGCTCCTCCTACCGCCGACGGCTGCATCAGGTGCGTGTCCTGCTGTGACGTGTCCATACTTTTAACGCAACCACCGAGGTCAGGCCCGCTGCTCACGCAGGTCGGGGACATTGTCAACCCTGCTGTCGCGCAGATCGCCGCGCTCGCCGGCCAGCCCGTGAGCGCCATCCTCGCATCGGCCGGGGGCATCGTTGACGCGACTGGCGTCACCAAGCTCATCCAGCCGGTCCTCGCCACCACACCGGCGCGCTCAACTCGGTGCTCGCCATCGCCAACTGGGTGCCGTTGCCGTCCTCCTAGCCGCTCCTCGCCTAGTGCTTGGTTTCACGATGGCGCAATTGCGGTCACGCTCGCTGCGGGCCATCGGAAAGACTGCCGCGGTCAGTTCCAGTATTGCTCGCGCTCATTATTATCACTGACCACCAAACAGAAGGCCTTGTTTTACCCAAGACTGTCGTTCACGGTGATGAACTAGGCGCTGTTGGGTACCCTGTGGACGGTAACGAGGGCCGATGCGGCCTGTCGTAGAGCACTGAAATGTGCCGAGAGCACGGACTGCAGCGCTGATAGTATGTCATTTACCCATGTAGAATATATTGGTTGTATAGTAGCGTGCAATATATGAGCTTTTTAACTCACATATGGTCTTGAGACTTCTAATAAATATCTTTGGCAAGCTATTTACAATCTTGGGTAAAGACCAACTAGGTCTTGGTAAGACCATTTTGGTCTTGGGAAAGATTCCCAAGACAATTGAATCTGCTTAGCCCAAGACCGCAGTCTTAGGCGTCTTTGAGGTCTTAGGCATCTTTGGGATCTTGCCCAAGATCCCAAAGATGCCTAAGACCGAGGTGTAGTTTTACTGATGGTGGCGCGCCCAGCCAAGTGAAGAGCGCCGCTTGGAAGGGTGTCGAGCGCATCAGCTTCTTCGAGACGGCGGGCCAGCCCGACATCTGCTTCGGCCCAATACTGTATGCGAGCAGAGAGTCCTCGGGCTGCTTGACTGCGCCGCCCGGGTGAGTGCCAGTAGCGTGGATACCAGCAGGCGGCGACTAACGATGCGCATAGATTTAACTGGCAGAGTGCTCGAATTGGCGCTCCGCGGCGGGCTCACCTTTCCAGAGGCAACGACAACGCGCAATGATCTTAGCGGCCTTGTGTTTGGATGACATTGAACTCCATACTACTTATATTTCATCTCCTTCGCTTCAAGTTGTCAATGTACTCCTTGTGAATCGATGAGTCTATGAGTCCATGGCATACTCCGATTATATGCCGCCATTGCAAGTCTGTCTACCTTCAGCTGCCTCTCGTCTCCAACGTCCGTTAATTACTATTACACGATGGAAAGCCCCATGCCAAGCCACGCCAAGTGGTTGATCGTCTCCACATCATGATGCGATGGCGATGACTCACCGCGATCAGCGTCCCTTGTCCCAAACCACCATGCACCCCCTGCTCAACCTTGCCAACATCGATACGCTACCACCACAACCGCGGGTTCGTTCGATGCCCCTCCCGCCTGTGATTCTCCTGCTCATCTCCGCAGGAACGGGCGAAGGCAGCCGCCTCCGGCGCTCGCGACGCGGTCAACTATTTCTTTCCGCTGCTCCAGCGGATGCCCGGCGAAGCGGCACGGCCGCTTGTTTCTGTGTACTACGCGGCGCTAGACCCCGCGCCGATATCCCAGTTGGAGCGTCGGCTGCGCACCGGCCGTGACTCCGACCTCGATGCTGTGGCCGACCATGTCGGGCTAATCGATCGCGTCTACCAATCCCTCCTCATTCTCGTCCTGCAGAAGGTGGTCGTTCCCGGATGCTTCATCGATCTCTGGGCGCGGATCTTCCCGTGGGACAATGCAATCCACGCCTTTCTCCGAGACCGCGACCTTCTCACGCCCGAAGGCGCAAAGCAAGTCTACGGCAACATCGCTGCACTCATGACCGTCATCTGGCAGCACTCTGAAGACGACTTCCGCGGGAAACTCCACTCCGACTCGCCCGGTCTCGGCTTGCTCGTCGGCGGGGTGTGGAAGGCCCTCGTCGAGGCGAAGTATCTCGAAGGTCTGCACAACTCGGGCTTCCACCTGACGCGCGACTTTGGGCGGAACCTATGGGGCAGCACAGAGCGCATGCATGAGCTTGTCAGGGGTGTGGGCAACCGCTATTCCACGCTCGGTGTGCTGCTCAGGGAACACATCAAACTCGCTATCCCGTCAGCGACCAGCCAAGTTGACGATATGGCGATGCGCATCACCTACGGCGCGACAGAACTGCTCACAATTGGCGCATCCTCTCCCGAAACGACGGTAGAGTTCACGCGCGCCGTATTGGAAGCGGGAATCGTCCCCGTCATCGTCGCGGCGGCGTTTGCACTGGGGAACCGAGAGGGCGGCCTCGCTCGCGAATCGCAATGGAACATCTTCAACTTCCTCCGTGTCGCATTCGTGACCAAAGACGCCGCCCGCTGGATCAGCGAAGCACTCGATGCCAACTTTTTCCCCGCGCTCTTCCTCTTTACGGGACGCAGACGGGAGACGGGGAGCGCGGTCAAGTTTGAAGAGGAGACGCTGCGCGCGCTCTTGGACGATATACTGCCTGGCTTCACGCTCCATTTCTCGGTGCTCATGCAGCTTCGCTTTTCGCTCGACGCCGTCCAACAACAGCTTGACGCACGCAACTTCTTCAAGGACGCCGAGTCTCTTGATGCCTGGCACGCCTTCACCGAGTTGGTGACGGAAAGGACCAGGCTGGCAGAAGCCTTCAAGGCCACATTGGACGTGGATCTGCTGAGGGCTTGTAACAACGCAACGGTGCAACTTTTTCGGCTTTTTGATTCCGACTAACTCTCGCCATAGTGCAAGAAGAAGGGCCAGACGGGGGACCTCAAACGCTGCGCGCGTTGCCAGACCGCCATCTATTGCTCGAAGGAATGCCAGGCTGCCGACTGGAAGAAGCGCCACAAACTCGAGTGCGGAAAACCGCCGGCGACGAGTTCATTGACAGCAGGTATCTGCAGTTCTCCGAGCAAATTCCACCCTCATCTCGCGCTCCGTAGCTCAGCTTGCTCAGTATCGCGCCCACGACACCGCCTTCCTGCAAACGCTCATCCTCTCCGACCTGGTGTCGGCTTCCTCCCGCGCAATACTCGCGCCAGGGCTCCTCCGCGAATACCACCATGACGCAGAAGGACCCGTCTATCTCCTGCTCGACTACACCGCCAAGCACGGCCGCTGCACTGTGTCCATCGCGCGCACAAGCCCTGAGGCCGCAAACGGTGCGCCCAGCGCGAATGTCCAGACGATATTCGCACGCATGCACGCCGGCCCCGGCGTGCCGGACCGGAACGGTCGGTGGTGGAAGCTCACCATGGCGGCCGCGAAATTTGCGTTGGGTGTAGAGGCTAAGCGCGTTGCGGGGCTGATTCCTGCGGCTGCCGTGGAGGTCGACTATGCCGAGTGGGCTGATGAGATGAAGGTGGATAGGGGCATGGGGGCAGAGATGCAGAGGCTTGTGGGCGTTGTGGGAGCATTGAGTTTCTCGCAAGTTCGCTGTGCCTAATGACAGGCTGCCGGTGTAATGTCGCGATAGCGCTCCCAGTTTGGCAGTCAAAGTGGGGAAGTAATAAATTTCTACACACTTTGTGATAATTTGAGTTTTCCGCAACATTTCGAAGAAAAAACTATTTTCCGCAACTTTCTTTTCTGAATTGAACAGAAAGCTGGGGATCACAGCCATTCCCAAAATCCGCGAAATATTTTGAGAGCACATAATTTCCGCTTTTTTTTACAACATTCAAGTTGATCAATCCACAACATTTTGTAGAATCTCCAACACCTATCTACTATGTGCTTCAAGTTCCAACTGCCACGCGCGGCCTGTCCCAATTCGGCGCCGGTCCGGACCCCGGACATACGCGAACTGCCTCTGCCGTCGGAGGGTTGACCGTCGAGTCCTCGTCCTGTGGGCCACAGCTGATAGCACTACCACCCTAGGCAAATCCACAGCCCGCCCCACCGACCCCGCGTATAGTAACCACCAAACACGATGTTCGGCGTTCGCGACGGAGCCGGGAGCCCGCGCGGCCTGCGAGTCGGCAGGGACATCAAGGGGGGTTCAAGGTGGGAACCTATTGCCTTATATGGCAGGAGGGGGAGGGGGGGGGTCCCCAGAGGGTCAGAAAAAAACTTTCCGGCCCTCTATCCATGTTGTAAGGGCAACCCCGGAGGCCTGAGATCAGGGTCTAGCAGGGGAGGATCCAAAGAGAAGAAACTCTAAGGGTCCGCCTGCTAGGGAGCTGACTATATACTGCTTGTCTGTAGCTGCCGCTGTCGGGCACAGAAGGCTTGGGGCGGCGTCGCAGGCGAGGTCCCAGGGTGACCGTCGGGAGGGTGTTGACGGATCGGTAATTGTGCGGGCGAGATGGAGGGCCGGGCCGGAACCGGAACCGGAATCGGACAGGAGTTGGACGGGTCTCCGAGGGGCCGAAAGGGGGGTTCCCCTGACACATGTTTCGAATCTTGAACCCCCCTTGAGGGACATGGGATATACACACCTGCTGCAGCGAGTACTGCAACGGCGGCCCCGTGAGGACAGCCGAGGCCGCCGAGTAGGCAGGGCGCCACACAACCGAGGTCAGAACAACGGCATGTTCGCAGTGGAGTCCACCACCGGCCGGCTGTCAACTCCGACCTGCTGGCGATGAGCAGTCGCTTTGTGCCTAGTGCTGTCCACAATCATATTATGCCAGATTATATTCTGAGTATAATCAATTAAATATGATTATAATATGCCTTCTCCATAATCATCCATGAAAATATGATTATGATTAAATATGATTATAATTCCATTATGCCAAGGTCATATTTATATCATATTTTTGATGGTATCAGGCCCATCAACTCCTCACAAATCATCCATTTTCAGTATTTTTTACCTATTACAGAAATTCAGGATGTGAGAATAAGAACTGTTGATATTCTCCAGTCAGTTAGAAGCAGCGAGAAGCAAATTTGGTCAAGTTGGCAGGATTTGATCAGATCATCTGATTAATATAGTTCAATGACACCTTATTTTATATGAAGCTTTTTATGAATACCAGCCATTGTAAGATATCATGGAGAGGTAAAAAGTCCAATCTTAGCCAATTGACATATATTTATAGTGTTACAACTGGGCCTAAAATAATCAATTATATTCTGAGTATAATCAAATATATACTCAATGATTATGAGTATGATATGATTATGGACAAAGACCATGATGATGATATGGATATAAGTATATTATGAAGATTTCATAATTATATCCATAATTGGACAGCACTAGATGGCGTGAACTTGAAGAAGAAGGTGCCGAAACAAACACCCATACCATCCCTCCATTCTGTTCCTTCAATTGTCCCTCCCAACCCACTGCCTACCCACTCTAGTCAGATGGAGTCACTGTCTTCGACCTACAACCGGGCTTTCTCACATCTCAAAGCCACACCGCCTGAGCACCGCCGCCGGCTGTCCGTTCTGAAGGCCATGCGCGGAGCGGCTGTGCAGTGAGCAGGCTGCTAAACGGTAACGCTTGGCCTCTGCCCACTGCTCGTCCTTTGTGTGTGGCCCTGCGACCCTCGCCGGGGTTTCTTACAGCTAGTGCCCTCCCTGCTGACCTCCTGCAACAACTATGTTGCGGGTGTGAAGGTGGGGACCGCGGCCGCTACACCACCAACCCGGCATGACACTTAGCCGATGTCATGCCGGAACATCGCCTAACATCGGGTCGTAACATCAGGATCGGATTTCCATGATGTCAGTAACAAATTGAATCAGCATATCTTCCTGACTTCTCTCTGACAAGGGACATCATACCGACATCCTCAGCTGGACGAGTGCCAGACAGGCCTATGATGCATGGGGGGTGTTTGCTGAATAGGGTACTGAATACTCGAGAAAACAGAAAATGATGCATATTGTGCAGTAGTAAGTACATTTACAATATATACTGACTAAGAGAAAAGAAAGCAGGCACTGAATAACAAATCACCTGCATTTACCACACGCACCCCGCCAGCCAGGTCCACGCAACCCACCAAAGCAGCACCGCGGTTGCCAGTCGAGTCTCGCAGATGCCTCGCGGCATCAAAGCTGATTAGGTCAGTGGGAATGAGCAATGTCGTCGTCCAGCAAAACCAAGTGGTCTTCTTCTCTATGTCCTGCACAGCATCAATCAAGGATGGAAACGTGGAGTAGACCACATACCATCCAGCACCATCGAGAAGTTCCATGTTTCATTGCGTGCAACTAGTAAAACGTTAGCAGTGTACAAAGTTGCCAGAGAATCTGTACCATCTACTGTAGTATTTCAATCAATTCTGCAGCCCTGTGACCTGTGACACATGTGGCAGAAATGTGCAATTCAGCCAAGGGCAAAATTTGGTGTGACCTCCTGCCTTATATGGAAGTTCTGCGCACCAAAGGTGCGGAAAAATTTGGAAATTACCATTTTGGGATGGTTTGGGACCAAACATATCTGCTGTGACCTGTGACAGGCAGAAAAATTTCGGCCAAAAATCTCAATGTGACCGTGACATGATTAATTGATCGAAATACTACAGTATTCCTGTGTCCCCGGTGATCTCGAAAAGGGGCCAAATCCATCCGCACACCTCACACTCGGTGATGCGGAGCTTCGCCTTGGTAAATGTGTCCATAAAGCGTGTTGCGGCGACAGCGGTGGGGGGTGGGAGGGCGGAAGGAGGGATGTTGTTCAGGTGGGGGATGTGCGCTTTGTGGAGTGGATACACGAGTCAAAGAGGAACTCAGGGGCAGAGTCCATTGTGAACCCGCCAATGAGGTCCTGACACCGTGCATCAGTGGAAAATCACACAAGAACGGATGCACCTGGAAGTCCACCCGAATACCCCTCTCGAGAGCGCAACAACATCGCCTGCGTGGCGGTCGAAGAAGTCGAAGTGGTCGCGCCTGAAGAATCACTCTCCGCCTAGCAGCTCCCGCTACGGCATGCTGGCATTGAGGAGCGAAGTCCTACAGGTCAATAAATGAGTCACAACGGGTCTGTTGAGAGTGCCTTACTCACGATGGTCAGGCCTTGGCTCGGCGGGAGGGGAGAGTGGGAGAAAGCAGGAGAGGGATGTGGCAGAAGAAAGAAAAAGTGGTGCCATCTCAGTCACACAATAAAATGATGTTACATATTGATGGGGGGACTTTGCATTTTTCGTGTGTCAAGGTTGTGCCAAGCCAGATGCATGCTCATCTGCTGGACATCAAGACAAGACGTTGGCATGATGTCGGTCATAACATCACTAGCACCGCTCTAGACTATTGATGTGATATTCACTATTTGACAGCAACATGAAATTGGGTAACTATCAACCCAAGATCGGCCCCGTCGTTGCCTTGACATCGATGGGTGACATCGGCCAGTTGTGTCAACAGGTTGGTGGTGTAGCGGTGCTGCGCTCGATGATAGCAACACGGGCAGTAGACAGCCAACCTATATAGTGTTTCGTTGTAAGTAGTACCTGTAAATAACCTGTATTTATGTTTACTTGCTGCAATAAAATAATTGTTCTGCATTTATACTCTCCGCCTGACTGCCTGTACTACATGAGATATATTATGGTGTGGCTGCCCGGATGTCCAGCTGGCACCCAGACCCAGCATGGACCCATTTGCGTCCAAACATGGAAACCATGTGGCGCTGATCCGGAACCAGCTGGAGGTGACATGTGTCCATCATGTCATTTCCTGCTATGACACAGCTGGAAATATGTTGGCGGTGTATAATTATGATATGGATATGAGTATATTATAAAGATTTCATAATTATATCCATAATTGGACAGCACTATTTGTGCCAACCCAGCCAACCTCCCGCGCAACCCTTCCTTATTGGCCACGGCATTGCTCCGAGTGGCCGTGATGGCAATCGAACGATTGCTGGCCAAACGGGTCCACCAGCACGGGACTCACTACCTCTACCATGTCCATAGCCCTCCCGACTCGCCGGCCCCGCCGGGCTCCGTCGTGAACATCATGTTTGGTGGCGCCCTCCGATGCGCGGGGTCAGTGGGGCGGGCTCAGACTGTGAATGGGCCTGGTATGTAGTGGCTCTTGAAGGGACAATGACTCAACGGTGAACCCTCCAGCGGCGCAGGCAGTTCGCGTATGTCTGGACCCCGGACCGGTGCCAAATTGGGGGACATCGACGATGCCGGGCATGGTGGTAGGAACTTGAAGCAGATACTTAGTCGGAATGACTGGTATTCAAGATAGAAAAATGTTGCGGGAAAAAATCTTATTTGAGAATGTTTCGAGGATTTGAGAAATGGCTGCTGTGATCCATAACTATTTGTCAAGTTTGGAGAATAAAGTTGCGGACAATGGTTTTTTGCTCAAAAAGTTGCGGAAAAGTGAAATTTTTACAAAGTGTGTGGAAATTTAATACTTCCCCACTTTGACCGCCATAAATAGGCAATAGCACGGGTAAGGCATACCCACATGGGTACATGGGTTTTACCCGCATGGGTATGGGTATAGATTGCAAATTCCCTACCCACCAACCCACGGGTACATGACCCAGGGGTAGATCAGATAAGATATATCATATAAATTGATCATATATCATCTAATAAGTCATCTATATGAAGAGGATGTAAGGATAAGCCTGAGTTAGAGGACAGATAGGATAAAATCGAGTTAAACTAGCCAATATATAAGTCTTTTAGGGTTTAGGATTGATAGTACCCATGAGTAAAACCTATACCCATACCCATGACTATGACCATAGGTATGGGTATACAGTATGGTGGCTGTGCAGGTATAAGTATAAGTAAGGCTCTGGATACCCAGGGGTTTACTCATGCCATTGCCTAGTTGTGAAGCTCGAGATTTGTGACGAGTTTCAACGCATGGCTGTGATCTGCAACTTCTTGTCAAGTTTATAAAATAAAGCTGCAGAAAGTAGTTTTTTGCTCAAAATGTTGCAGAAAACTTAAATTTTCACAAAGTGTGTGTGGAAATTTATTACTTCCCCACTTTGACCGCCATACCAGCTCCACCTTTTGGCTCCAACAAGATAATAGTTCTTCGAACAAAGACATGCGGAAGATACCGACTCCAGTTTACGTCTACGTATGCGCCGTCTGGCAACGCCCTCAACGCCAAGAGGGGGAGCACAACCAGGACAGCGCGGACAGGGACATAGATGAGCGCCCCGATAACGTACAGCGACAACGAGCTCCCGATATACGGCATGCCATCGCAGTGCCACGCAACGCCATGGCCATACACCAGAAGGACCACGACGGGCACGATCCCCAAAAGCACCGCCGCCCCTCGCCACAGCCACATTTCAACCACCGATAGGAAACGGGCGTTCCACGCGGCACAGTGCACCGCGCTAAAGAGGAGTGCGACGAGCATTTGGAGCATGGGTGTGTATCGCTCGTGGTCGTCGCCGACGGCGTCGGACGCGAAGTAGAAGGACGGGACGGCCGCGTCGTAGAAGTGGTCGCGTGTGGAGGAGTACCCAAGAACCCACATGAAGCGCTGGCCAAGCGACGGCGCGGGTAGCGGGCGGTGCGTGCCCCACTCCCGTGGGCGGGACAGCCTGGCACTCGTATCCGGTGACGGGAGGAAAATTGGCGCACGTACGTCCAGCGGCTTGTGCCACCAGAGCTCCCACGTGAAGGCGTTCACCGTCGCAAAGCCGAGTGTCGCCACCTCCAGCTCTGTGAGCGGAAGGCCCTGGTGCAGACGGGCCAGGCATTGCACCACGAACCAGAGCGCCTGAAGCAGCGCAACCGTCTTCGCGAATGCATCTCCTTGACTGCGGTCAACAATGTCCTGCTCCGACACGTGGCAGATAGCTCGGTAGTGGTCCTCCACGTCTCGGCTCTGCGCAATAGGATGCCGCGCCTCATCAACAAAGCCACCCATCGAGATAAAGAATCCGTGTGTTATCGAAATCCCATATCCTACAATTACTTAGCGCATGTTATTCGAGAGGAGTTTGAGCACACTTTTCGAAAAGTACATTGCAGTCTCCAGCTGGCGCCCTGCAAATCCCACGATAAGCTCTGGTGCGATGAACGCAGTGAGTACAAGGCCCAGCCGCCTCCGTAGACCCGTTGTCTGCCCCACAGCGTACCACTTGATGTGCTCCCAAAGCGATGCGTGCTTTCCGGGCGGCTCACGCGCTGGAGGCGGCACATTAGGGTGCGCGGAGACCCATACGCATGCAAACAACGTCGAGAAACAGCCCCAGGTGATCCCAAACAGGGTGCGTCTGTCCAAACAAGGCAGGGTGCCAGGATCGGCCCCGGGCGCGCGTTCTGAGGAGATGCCAATGGCGTTGACCGGCTGTGCGGAAAGCAGCGATAGTGTTGCGAAGAGGAGTGTCATGTGTTTGGCGCTACTTACACAGCTGGCCAGCTATATAGTCGAGTTTAGCGCCAGCCGTGAAAGACAGAATGGGTCGCGGCGCTGTCGCGCCACAGACGCTGAGGCTAGCTGAAAATGGGCTTGATATGTCTTACAGCCTGTCGGACTGGCAGGACTATACTGCGCCACTAATGTGGCGCATTGAAATTTGACGCACAGGAAATGACCTGTGGGTGAATTAATTAGACCGTGACACATTTCGGAGGGCCCGGGAAAAGATACTTGTTGCCGTTTATAACTTGAAATTCGCTTCGGACATCCTGATTAGGAATTTCCCTAAGTGCAATGGATGAAATGCGCAGCTTGTAACTGGATCGTAGTAGTAAGCTGTGGGCATAGGCAAAAGACGAGAAGTAACAACACAGGAATTTTTCAAGAACGTATGCTGCGACATGTGAGGTCAGCGAGCCAGTGGACCTGCAAGGACTGAGACGCACTATTATTCCAACGACGGTCCTCTGTGTCCGTCAGCAGAAGACCGCCTCCACACCATCCTGCTTCAAAAAACATCAGTCCTACGAAAGGCGATCCATTCACACTCACGCCGCAATCTACATCGTTCACCGTTCCCCGGATAGCTGATCTTGGCCAATGGTCGCTCAAGAATGCAACCGGCGGCGGCGCTTCTGGCAGTGGGAAGGGTAAGCGGGGCGCGGAAACGGCGCTAAGGCAGCGAGAACGGGGCCACCTTCCGACGAATAGCGCTCGGAAAGAGGGCACAAAACCGGGAGACGGGGGAAGGGAAGGAAGGTGACAGGATTTTGCGCGTGATCGACGTGGCGCGCACGGACCATGCTGTAACGCACGTGCCACGTCAATCGCATCTTTCTTCCGAACGACCATCTGCGCACGGGGCGTTAGGCTGTGCGTCCCGCTTCTAAAGAAAGTCGCCGGCAGCGATGTCCCACTCCAACATGTCTAAAGTCTCGATGTGGCGAGAACTCAAAAGCACAGCCTCACTTCCACTCCATCCTCTCTAGACTGTTGGTTCTGCACCCACCCGCGCCGCCTGCCCTCGAGTCTCGCCGTTGGGCTCGTCAATCTCACTACTCATGCTGTTCATTGTCTAGACCGCCAACTCCCCTCTCAATCTGACGACTGTACTTACACTGGGCATCATCTCGACCCACCACTATGCCTCCTCCGCCGAGTCTCGCAGCTGTTTCTCCTCTACGCGCAGAATCATTGTCGGGTGCAACTGTCGCTGTCGCCGCATCCTCCTGTCAACCGCTGGTTGACTTCGTTGCTACTCTCCCGTGTTTACGCTGCACGCTCATCACACTTTCGGTCGTGCTCGCGCTGGGAGCAGCTTTCTGGCTCGTCTGGCCGGAAAGACTGCGTGCTCAGCTCAAAGCCAGCATTGATGCCGCAGACATTATGCTCCAAGAAATACTCAAACAGCCTTTAGACGGGCCGACACGTCCCGCCGAGCTGCATCGTTTCGGCGAGGCCCTGAAGAGGTGAACTCACGTTCAGGACAACGCCGTGCTGACATATCACAACCTAGGCTGCAACACCGTGCATCCCTGTTCCACGAGCGGCAGCTCCAGCATGCCTTCCGTCCGTGGCTGGCCACGAGGGACGTCGTCTGCGGCCAGTCGCTCCGCATCGCAAAATGCATCTGGGCCGTGCGGATGCTGAAGAACGAAATCGAGGTGCGTTTTTCTGATGACTGGCCAGGTTTGGACTCAGTATTCATTCACAGATATGCAGGGAGCAGATGGCGCAGCGGACGTTGATGAGGGGATGCCCTGGCGATCAAGCCCTCGCAGCATAACTCCCAACTTGTATCATACCATTTGAAATCATTACCAACACAACTCCCTTATTCTCCACACTTAGCGCAAGCGCGCTAACGGCGTCGACTGCGCCTCTGCACGCCCCAGCGCGACGAGATCCGCCTTCTCCGCCATGCGCATCTTGAGCTCCTCGATAATGAAGACGCATATGACTTGCGGGTGAAACGCCTCGGGGATGCTGCCTGCGATGACCAAGGTCGGCGGCAAGCTTGCCAATGCGGCTGGGTCGGGGCTGGCCCAGTGTGCGACGGGCGAGTCGGGGTCGAATTCGGTGTAGAGCTGCGTGGAATTGAGTGGGCGGCAGATAGACAATGATGAAACTTACCGCCAGACGGTATTCGAGGTGCTGCCGGAGGAAGCACTGGCCGACAGCGGTGTCGATGACATGCGCGTCGCTGGTCGTAAGCAAAGTATTAGTAATCGGTGAACAGCTTTTAGACGGTAAACCCGCACATGCCGTCAGGTTGTTTGGACCGTTTCATCCACTTCGACAGCTTGACCCGCGTCTCCTGGCCCTCGGTGCTGACAAAGGAGATTGTGTCCGCCCGAATTGCGTTGCGGGCTATACGCGCGAGAAGTTGGCCCGTGCGCGCATCGAAAAGGTCGGTTACGGAGCCCTGGAGCGCTGTGATTATTGTGTACCGCGCGAGCCCGTTGGCAGAGAGTGTGGCGTTGATCATGCTGTTGGTGGAGAACACGAGGGAGAGCGGCGGTGTGGGGTCGACGAGGGTGAGCTGGGAGTCCATAGGTGGCAATGGTCGTGGGGGGAGGGAAGACGCGCCGTGAGAACTTGCTGAGTAACCGACTACAGCTTTGAGAAAGCTGTTCCTGGCCGGACCGAGGTGCCGAAGAGGAGCCATACATCGCTGTTGGTGCGGATGAGAGGTGGCGAAGGGAGACTAAGCGGGAGAGAAACGACTCCTCCTCCTCCTCAGGTCGTGGAATGGCCTAACCTTGCAGCCCATAAGAGCTAAGAAACATTTCGGCCATCCTTCTTGTGTACAGTATGAAGTAAGACTCGGAATGGAGGTCATGGACGACTCGGACAAAATGGCTATTGGCGCACCAGTTCTTCCGTTGGATCTCTGTCGATCGATAATATCTCCCGTCTGCAGGCCTCTCCGAGGCTATGGCGCTGGTGAGTCGTGACTACGCCAACAGAATCCAGTGAGAAAGACACTAAGTTATCCGTGTCTGTGGGGCGCGCCGCGCGAGTGGAGAGAGGGCAAAAAAAGCAGCCTGTCTCAGCCTGGCTTGGCGTCCGCGCACGGACCATCAGGCGGCACGTGATGAGATTTAGGTGGACGGGATTTGGAACAAAAGTGCCCTTGAATGACGCAAATAACAATATTTGTTTTTTTTGCCCGCGCCTGCTGGCTGACAAAAGCCGCGCAGGCATAGTACCTCCGACGAGCAGCTCTAAGCTAAGTAGGATGTGCGTTTTGTCGGAGATCATCATCAAGCGATCGCCCGCCGCTGATCGAACGATTGATGGTCGCATCTGTGTCACACGTCGCATCATTCCGTCACCACGCTGACGGCTCCCTTTCCTCGCCAGCTCACTTCGCCTCGCCCTTTCCCCACTTTCGCCCCGCCCAGATAGGAAGCCGCACGAGGAAGACAGAGAACGAACCCCCTTCACGGACAGACAACGAGATAGGATAGTAGAAAGATACGATGGCCGTCGACCAGCGGGAATACGACTATTTGGTGAAGGTGTGCCCCCCGGTATACTGTCCTGGCAGCGGTCCAACTAACTCGCTCTAGGTAGTGCTCATCGGAGACTCCGGCGTGGGCAAGTCGTGCGTTTCCCTCTTCCCCTCTCCGCCTACCGGCTCACGTCACGCAGGAATCGTGCGTGTTTGTCTCGGGGCGGGCTTCATGCTGACCAGATGCAGTGCTCTCGCGCTTCACGCGCGGCGAGTTCAACCCCGAGAGCAAGTCGACGATTGGCGTGGAGTTCGCAACGCGCTCGATAGAGATTGACGGGAAGGTGGTGAAGGGGCAGATATGGGACACCGGTCCGTCTTCGTTGCTTCCCTCTTCTCGCCACAAAGTCGCTGATAGCCCTCTAGCGGGCCAAGAACGGTTCCGCGCCTTGACATCCGCGTACGCCCGCTCCACACCCCCTCCCATTCTCACCCACGCTCACCGCCAGATACTACCGCGGTGCTGTCGGCGCTGTAGTCGTGTACGACATCTCGAAACACGCTTCGTTTGACAATGTCCCGCGGTGGGTAAACGAGCTGCAGGACAACATCAAGACCGCGGAGGGCTCCTTCAAGCTTCTCCTCGTCGGCAACAAAAGCGACCTCGCAGCGGCCGGCCAGCGCGCCGTCCGTGTCGAGGAGGCAGAGCAGCTCGCGGAGGAGCACAACATGAGCTTTATGGAGACGAGTGCGTTGGATGCGACCGGCGTCGAAGAGGCCTTCCAGAGCATATTGTCTGGTGCGTGACTTGACTTCACTGATTTGATTCAAGGGCTTTACCCCTGCGCAGATATATTCAACATCCTCTCGCACCGCCGGCCAGAAGACGACGCCCCCGGGTCGACGATCGATGCGTCCAAGCTGGCGGGCACGACGATTACCCCGGGCGTGGACCAGCCGCAGGGCGGGAAGTGCTGCTAGTCGGCGGTGTTGTGTGTATGTGTGTAAATTATTGGGATGTATAATTAATTATTGCATTATTACTTCCTGTTCGGCTCGCTAGGGAGCCCAGCTGGCACACACATCTTCTGTCAGTTATAAATGTGCGTGCGCCTGTGTCGACGCAGGCCCGGGCCTCACAGGCTGTTGACAACAACATTTTTGGGCAAGACAATAAGGCTCTTTCTATGGTGGCTGCCAACTGTGCATCTTTGACTGGCATACGCTAAGGCCTGACTGCTAACAAAATCAGTGGGCAGTCTGCACCAAAATTGTGACCAAATACTCACCACTGGTGCAGCAAGTTCAACTTGAAGCAACACTAGTCCCGGTACACAGGCGAACTCGACATATTCAGATTCAGAAACGAAGTTTTACCGTCGACGTCTTTGGCTCCGAAATCCAACCGAAATCCAGATTCCCTCCACCAGTCTCTCGTCGACATCCTTCTAGTACCTCAGAGACATTCTCAACAATGTGCTCCTCGGAATATTCCCTCAGGCTTGCCCACAGTTATCTCGACTACCATTGATTCTTTTTTTTTTTTTTTGGAGCGTTTGGAGTAATGAACTTCAGTCTGCAGAAGCATTCCAAAGAACATCCGCTGGGTGCACTGGAGAATACCAGTAAAATGCCGGGAATTAAGCTCAGGGGGAAATGCCTTTATGCATGTTTTAAACCAGTGTGGGACTCCTACAATGGTGTGATTCACCCAACACCTTTCTTCAAGGGTAGAATACCCACTAAAACCCCCTTTTCATATATCCAGTTATCCGGCAAGGAGTCTTCATCCAGCAGAAGCCCACTCCAAGTATTTAATACTACTTGTTGGTCAATAGCTAATTTATCAAATTTATTCCTGTTTGTCAAGATCCTATCACGTTGTAGTATTGAATTAATCAATGTTAACCATCGATTGTGGATTTCATTGATTTGGAAAATCTTACCAGGATTTTTCAAACGTCTTTCATTTCGCATGTTCCAAATCATATACCAGGCAGATGATACTAAAATACTAAATAGTCGATCTTTGTGAGGCTGAGGAGTTCCTTTTCTAGTATGGAATTTAGTTAGATTACATCCTAGGACTAATCCCCACTCAATTTTTGGCCATTTATTAAATTTCATACTCCAAAGTTGTTGAGTTAATTTCCAGATATGTGTTCTCTCTAAAGATATACACTCTAGCATGATATGCTCAAGAGTCTCAGGAACTCTACATAAAGGGCATTCACCAAATGTTTGTAGCTGGGGAATATTATCCCAATAGAACCCTACCTTGAATGTATTATGCATTGTTTTCCAGAGTAAATCTCTGATTTTAATATTGAAATGAATTGACCTAATTGATTTCCATATAGCAGCATCTGTAGGCTCATACCAGGATAAATCCTTTATAGTTGCTCGAGTTCTTTCTATATTGATAAAAGTCCCTTTCCGTACAGGTATTTGATATTTGGATTTAATAATCCTTGAAAATACTTTTTGTGACCCGCTTTGTAGTGCTATACCAGGCATATGAAAGGTAAGTTCAGGTTGTGTTTCTATAAGCCATGGAACAAAAGGATCATCACCTGATAAGCTAGCTTTATTATCAGAAACCTTTGTGAAGTAGGTTTTCTGAGTTCTCTCTCTCATATAAGATAGACAAGCAGTGAATAAAGGGAAGATAGGGTTTGACATATCATTTTGAAGTAAATGCCGATTTTTTATTAATAAATCAGACAAAATCGAGTCACCAGTACAAATATTGATAATACCATGAGGGCCAACATGTTCAATCACCAGCATAAGTGCACCTAACCATGCTGACTGAAGGTTTAAAGGTGTTGATGTATTAGTAAACTGTAGCTCAAATTTCTTATTATCACCAAAATCTTGAGCTGAAACAATTCTCAATGCAACTAGTAATCTAGGTTTATATTCCCCTGGGCAGGCAACTTTAGTATTTATGAATATATCAACATTATCTAAAGTATTGGCATTCTGGTTATATTGTCTTTTTGCTGGATAAGGGGACATAAATGAATCCTCTTCAACAAATATTCTACATACATCAGTCAGATTATCAGACTTGTAATCCACATCAAATGTTCTTTTATATTCTGTATTAAATGGGAGTAAATTGTGTGCTCTTTCTTCTTCTGTCAGATGAAAATTATCATTTATGTCACACAGAGGATTCCATTTATCATCTATACATAATATAAGTTTTTGGGCTATATTAATACATTTTCCAGGATGATCACATCTTAGTATTTTCCTATCATAGGAACATGCATTGCAGCCACAATTCTGTCTTGAAATACCTGAAAGATTCATTGTATGTGGTTTTTGACCTGCTATAGTTTCTCTGTTTGCCAATATTAATGCATCTCCTACCATTTGCACTCCATGATTGAATTTTAAGCAATCAATTCTAGTATAATGTCGTAGTAAAGATTTATATGAGTTATCTTCTACAGAGATATGATACCATATAGGCATCTGTAGTTTAACATTTAGATCAATTTGTAGTCCAAATATTTTAAAGTTAAAATTTTTTTGCGGACTTAATCATTCTTTTAATTTCTTCAGGCAGTCTTGTGGTTTTAGAAAGAGGCAAGGTCATTGATTGTAAAAAGAGATTAATCATAGTCCCCTCAGGTTTTTGAAGGTAACTTTGTGTCCAAACATTATCTATCAAACTGTCAACAAAGAAACACCAGGATGGTCTATGATCTCCTTGAGAAAGATATATTTTAAGATTCCATAAATCAATTGCTTCATTTCTAGATTCAAGATCGAATATACTTCTACCTCCTTTTTCAACAGGTAGTCTCATAGTGTCATGAGCCACTCTTGCCTTTTCATTATCCCATAGAAATGCATGTTGGATTCTTTGTAATGTTGTTTCAATTTCTTTTGGCATACCCTGAACACGTGTTAGATATTGTGTTCGCCCTGCAATGCTCATATTTATGATATGTCGTTTGCCTTCTAGTCCAGGACTAGCCCATATAGCACACCCTAAGTCCCCTCTAATTTTTTCCAGTATTGATGGCCAGGGATTAGAGCTTTTCAGATTATTACCTAAATGTGCACCAAGCATCCTAAAGCTTTCATTATCTTGTAGGATTCTCATTGATTCTGGGATAGTGCCTTTGGGTGAATTTGAATTCAGTCTTCTATTATTTATAACCTCTGTTCGGTATTGAGCGTGACCAAAAGGTACAATTACTGTTTTAGAAATATTGAACTTGGCAGTTGAGGCTTTACACCATATATCTAGAATTCTCCATAACAACCTCCAGGAGTCACAGCTAGACAAGTATATAGTAGTATCATCTGCAAAAAGTGAGAGAAGAAGCCTACGTTCAGTTCCAGGTACTTTAATTCCTTCCAAATCTGAATTTCTAAGCATGCATGCTAATGGTTCAATTGCAAGATTGAATAATAAGCATGATAAGGGATCTCCTTGACGTACCCCTCGTGTTACAGTAAATGGTGAACTTAATTCACCATTTATCATTACCATTGTTTTTGCTCCAGTATATAAATTTAAAACCGTATTAAAAAAACGGGGGAGGAAAACCCATATGCATCAAGACCTTCCTGAGATATTCATGGTCAATTCTATCATAAGCCTTTTCTTGATCCAAGGCCACTAATACTCCATTTTCTTCAGCTATATCCGCATAGTCTAATAGAAATTTGGCTAATTTGACCTGATCTTCAATTCTTCTTCCCTTCATAAATCCAGCCTGGTCTGGATGCACTAAGTTACCTGCTACATTCATCAGTCTTAGAGAATAAGTTTTGGTCATCAATTTATAGTCAGTATTTAGGCATGTTACAGGGCGATAGTTAGAAATAAAAGAGCGATCACCTTTCTTGTAGATAGGGCACATCCATCCTGAATTAAAGGTTGAACCTTCATTAACACCATTTTGTTCAATGTCTTTGAATACCTTAGTTAGAAAGGTTATTATATCCAAAGCTGGAAGATCTTTAGATTTAAGCTTTTCATATCTGATATCCAACATCTTATAGAATTCATAAGGGATTCCATCTAGGCCTGGGGACTTATTATTATTAGAGAGTTTAAGAGCTTGTTGTATATCAGATTTATTAAATTCTATATCCATTTTACTATACTCCTCTTTAGAAAGATGAACTTCACAATCTTCCAAAACTATATCTGTGTTCATAAGCTTGCCATAACCTCCATCATCCAGGTCAATATCTTTAGTTTGGATAGAATCATGGTAATCCCTTGCCATTTCACTCATAAGTTTAGGATCAGATACATATTCAATTGGATTTTCTTCAGTAGCTGACATCCTAAACTCGTATATCTCATCTTTCTGTTGGTATCCCTTTAAGGACTTAGTCCAACTAGAGGTTCTCAGATTTTCATTTGTGGCATGATATGCAGCCTCTCTAAGTGATTTCTTTGTCTCTGCCTCCTCTAATAAATGCAGTTGAATCTTCTGTTGGAGGACTACTGCTGATAAAGATTTGTCCTCCTGGCTTAGAGATTGATCATGTAATATCAGATCAATTTGAACTTGTAAGTGTTTAACTTTTTTATCTGTTTCATTTATTTTCCTCTGTGTGCACAATTTACCATATTCTATAATTTTATCTTTCCATCTTTCCATCTTTCTAATAAGGTTTGATAGTTTTTCTGTGGGTCTCTTATCAAGAGGTTCAATTCATTCCCTTCTTTCTCCATTTCTACTCCACATTGATTTACAAAATCCATAAACTTGCGTGTTCTTAACAGATATGTGGGTAGACACCATCTGCCTTTGCCATTTTTAATTTCCTTTCTGGCAACTAGTTGAACAGTAACTAAACAGTGATCTGTTCTAATTACAGTAGGTTGTATTGTCCAATTTCTATATTTGAGTAATGAGATACTATCAATCTCAATATGGTCCAATCTGGCATAGGATATATGAACTACTCCAGTTACCCTGTCTGTCCGAATCTGAGTG